TTTGTACCTAGATAAAATGTTCGGAAGATTGTCAGTCATGTCATACGCCATATTTTCTATAGAGAGTAGAACATTGCAGATAGGGCAAAATAAAAAATAATCCAATATATTTTGGGAACTATTTATTAATAATATATACATTTATAGGTATCTATAATAAAAATAATGAACAAGCTGCAAGGTTCAACTAATAACGTTTTTTGTAAACACAATCGTAAAATTCCTGTTTTAATTTTTACCAATGGTTAATTGATGAAACGTAGTCAAGATCACTTCATATAAAATATATTTAATTAAAATTGACACGTGACCTATTTGGCCTTCTACTTACAACTCGGCGGAAATTTGAAAAGATTTTGTCTTTTCACACAAGTATTGTTTACAACTGGCGTGGTTTCGAAAAGCGTGATTAAGTGTCAGCGGTATCATCATCATCATCATTACAGCCCTTCACAAGTCCACTGCTGAACATAGGCCTCCCCCAAAGAATGCCACAAAACACGGTCCTGAGCCACCTGCATCCATCGACTTCCTGCATGTCTTACCAGGTCGTCACTCCATCTCGTGGGGGGACGCCCTACACTTCGCCTACCGGTACGAGGCTGCCACTCGAGAACCTTTCTTCCCCATCGGTTGTCGGTTCTTCGAGCTATATGGCCGGCCCACTGCCACTTCAGCTTACTAATCCGTTGGGCTATGTCGGTCACTCTGGTTCTACTGCGGATATCCTCATTCCTAAGTTTATCACGCAGAGAAACTCCGAGCATAGCCCTCTCCATAGCTCGCTGAGCGACCTTGAGCTTCCTCATACGGCCAGCAGTGAAGGACCACGTCTCAGTTCCGTAAGTCATCACTGGCAACACGCACTGGTTGTACAATTTCGTTTTAAGGTTTTGAGGTATGTCTGACGAGAAGATGTGTCGTAGCTTCCCGAACGCTGCCCAGCCGAGTTGAATCCGTCGATTGACCTCTCGGTCGAAGTTGGACTTACCCAGTCGGACTATTTGTCCCAGGTAAACATACTCGTCAACAACTTCGAGCTTAGTGTTCCCAACAACTACCGGCATAGGTGTGACATGGACATTAAACATGATCTTAGTTTTGTCCATGTTCATCTTAAGACCTATCCGTTGGGAAACACTATTGAGGTCATTGAGCATAGTGCTTAGGTCCTCCAGCGATTCTGCCATAAGGACTATATCGTCGGCAAATCGAAGGTGAGTGATGTACTCGCCATTGATGTTGATACCGTATCCTTTCCAGTCCAGAAGCTTGAAAACGTCTTCCAATGCAGCGGTGAAGAGTTTCGGGGATATGACGTCACCCTGTCTTATTCCGTGTAGTGGCGGTCAAGAATATCCACTACCCCATATCCTCCCGTGGGTGTCGTAAAAGGCGACAAAGGGAAACAGCCAGGAGATGGGCAGCAGCATCTTCCTGATAATAGCCAAATTACAATAAAAAAACTGCGGTTGCCAACCCGCTCGCCAAGCGTGGCAACTATGGCAAATACCCCCCAATGATGAGAACAACAAAAAAACGGCCCCTAGTCCCCGGCGGCCCCGCTATTCCTGGCTACGGTGGCGACCATGGTAACGGCGGGGCAGGGGGTGCTAAGAATCTCCGGTGGAGGTTCGGTTGCCACCTTAGACGACTCGACCTGGCAACGTACAACGCACGCACCCTGAGGACTGACGAGAAGATCGTGGAGCTGGAAGAAGAGATAGACAAGTTGCGCTGGCATATTATAGGATTATCCGAAGTCCGAAGAGAGGGGGAGGACACGGTAATCCTCGAATCCGGCAACTTGCTCTATCACCGGGAGGGCGACCATCTGTCCCAAGGAGGTGTCGGATTTATCGTCCACAAGTCTCTCGTTAACAACGTTGTAAAAATCGGGAGTGTGTCGACGAGGGTTGCGTACCTTATACTCAGAATCACCAAACGGTATTCGCTGAAGGTCATACAGGTTTACGCACCAACCTCGGCACACCCCGATGAGGAGGTGGAGGAAATGTATGAGGATATCTCTAGAGCCATGCATTCCTCCAAAACCCAATATACTGTGTTAATGGGAGACTTCAATGCAAAACTAGGCACAAGAGAGAACGGTGAGCTGAAAGTAGGGAAATTTGGAATAGGGCAACGGAACCCAAGGGGCCAGCAGCTGGCCGACTTCATGGAGAAAGAGGGACTCTTTATGATGAACTCTTTCTTCCAGAAGCGGCCCCACAGGAAGTGGACCTGGTCGAGCCCCGACGGTTCCACAAAAAATGAGATTGACTTCATTATGACGACCAGACGACAACTGTTCAGTGATGTCTCCGTGATCGCGAGGGTGAAAACTGGTAGCGATCACCGAATGGTTAGAGGCACACTGAACCTAAACGTTAAGTTGGAGAGGTCTCGTCTAATGAAGTCAACGCTCCGTCCCCCTCGTGCTCTGTTCCAAAGTCCCGAAACCTTTCAGCTCGAGTTACAAAACCGTTTTCAGTGCCTGGAAGACTGCAATGAAGTGGACGATATGAATGACAAGCTCGTGGAAACTGTCCATGCGGTTGGAGCTAAGTTCTGCAAGACCCGCCGCAGAAGAACACAAAAACTCTCCGATCACACTCTTAATCTCATGGATGTTAGACGGGAGATGAAGCTACATTCTTCAACAGACTTGACAGCATACAGGCATCTGAACAGACAGATCTCCAAGTGCATGCGGCGGGACTTACGCAACTTCAATACAGCTCGTATTGAAGAAGCGATCGAGCGGAACCAAGGCTCCAAAGTCTTTGCCAGAGATCTGTCTGCCAGAAAGAGCCAACTGTCAAGGCTGAAGACAGAATGTGGCAGCATCGTTTCCGGGACACCTGAGATTTTGAGTGAGATTGAGAGGTTCTATGGGCAGCTGTACACATCATCGTTGGAGCTACACGCAAGTGTGAGTAACGATCCAAGAGCGAGTCTCATCCGACACTATTCCGAAGATATCCCGGATGTCAGTCTGAGCGAGATTAGGATGGCTCTCCAGCACCTTAAAAACGGTAAGGCCCCAGGCGAGGATGGAATTACAGCGGAGCTTCTGAAAGCGGGTGGAAGACCGGTACTTGAAGTCCTTCAGAAGCTCTTTAATTCCGTCCTCCATGGTGGCATTACACCGGAGGCGTGGAGCAGAAGTGCGGTGGTCTTGTTCTTCAAGAAAGGTGACAACGCTCTCTTGAAGAACTACAGACCGATTTCCCTTCTGAGCCGCGTCTACGTGCTGTTTTCGAGAGTCATTACGAATCGTCTCGCGCGCAGACTTGACGACTTCCAGCCTCCCGAACAAGCCGGTTTCCGAAAGGGCTTTAGCACTATAGACCACATACATACCCTTCGGCAAGTTGTACAGAAGTCCGAAGAGTACAATTTGCCACTATGTCTGGCGTATGTGGACTATGAGAAAGCCTTTGATTCCGTCAGCGGTATATAATCAATTAAATACTGAACTTTTTTGAAATTTATTTTTTAGTTTATTTTTATTATATCTTCTTAAAAACTGACGCCATCTCACTATTTTATTATTTGTTTTTTTTTGTAACGCATAAGGATAAGTTAGATTGACTTGGATACTTTATAATTTTTTAAATTTTATCACAAAATTTCCGCAATAAATTATTACCTTTTCTACAGTAATTCTCTCCTCTTAGCTTCGGCGTGACTGTAGGATGTTTTAGTGAGTCGCCGTCAGTTAGTAAGCGGCCATAAATCATTATATGTATGTATAGACATACATATATACATTTTTTGATTTTAATATTTATGTTTTTTATTTAATTTTGATTGATTTTTTGAAACCTGGTAAAATTATTTTTTTCCATACCAGTTGACGGGCCTGAGTATAATGCCAGTTATACTCTTTGGCTGAAGTTATTTTTTATTTTATGCTCAATTGCAGACAAAACAATATTGAATGCGCATTTCTAAAACAAAATTTTACCTCTTCTCCTTCTAATAATAGCTCCTGCACCTAACACGGCGGAATATATATTATTATCTATAAGACCATTTGCGGAAATAGTTTTTGTTAACAGTTATGAGTGTAACATTTTATCAGCTGCTTTGTTTATAGTGCCTTGAGCAACACTTTGCCGGTTTCTGTACAGAAAATGATGCTGGCTTTGCAAATATGGATGGCCGCTACCATTGAATATAATACCCGCTATTACACTTATTTACATAGAAACTTTAATTATCATTTGCATAAAATTCTAAATAGCACTTTTTACACAAGAAAGTAAACTTTTAGATCAGTCCATTTTGTTTTTCACTAATTAAGTAAAAAGTAAAACAAACCACCCTATTGGTTTGTTTTACTTTTACAGTGGTTTAAAATTACTTGCAACTTTTTATAGAAAAGCATGACCTTATCATTATATAAAAGTCAATCATTTAGCCATGTGATAAAACTTTTAAGTGTGCCAGTCAAACATTAATGATGATATTCGGGTCATTATACTGGAAATAGTCTTTTAAATATTTTGTAGTACAATTGATAATCTTCAGTATGATTGACCGTGTATATGACTTTTATAAGTCATGTTATTTTTGATGAAAATTATTATTGCAGATAAAATCCCTTTCACATTTATTTTAGTCTCGAATTAAATTAATCAAAATGAAAATAATAACATTGGCTCTTTATAACTGATCTTTAAATGTAAAACACTGCCTTGAAATTATATAATTATTGGCATTTTTTTAATTCATTGAACTTTTTTACGATTTTGTTGAAACTCTACTTGAATACTTTTTAATTCGAGGAGAAAAATAAAACTTCTTGATGCAGATATTATCGCCGTGTACTTTCAATTGACAAAAAAAAATTGGCGGTGGTTACAACTTAAAAACAACAAAGAAAAAAGAAATAAGTAAAACGTATGTAACGCAACTTCGTGCGTAACAAAAAACCACAGGCGTTTTCGTAGACATGCCCCCCGGCGTTGAAAGCTTGTCTTTCAACAAAATTAGCCTTCCTTGTTGTTAGGTAAAGGGCAGATTTTGCAGAAAGGTCTTCGGACGATTCCGGTGGCAGTTCTGATATCGGCAACGCGGTTGATGCCGTCGGCTCCGGGATGAAAGGCTGTAATTCGACCCAGTCGCCATTTGAGCGGCGGTAAATTGTCTTCCTTCAGAACTACAAGATCACCCGTCCCTAAAGTGTCAGCATTGGAACGCCATTTTGATCTCTGCTGGAGTTCTGAGAGATATTCCTTGCTCCATCTTCTCCAAAAATGTTGACGAAGTTGTTGGATGCGTTGGTATCGACTCAGTCTACTGCTAGGGACTTCTCCATAATTTTGAGAAGGAAAAGAGGTGATAAGGCGGCCGATGAGGAAATGTCCCGGGGTTAATGGCAGTAAGTCATCAGGATCCGTGGAGAGAGGTGTCAGCGGACGAGAGTTCAGTACACCTTCAATTTGAACCAGCACAGTGTTTAATTCCTCGTATGTAAGGTTACAATTACCTAATATTCTCCGTAAATGATATTTTATTGACTTAACGCCTGCTTCCCAAAGACCGCCAAAGTGAGGGGCTTGCGAAGGAATGAAATGGAAATTTATATTTTCCTGAGCCAAATTCTCGGACAGTGAATTGCAATTGTCTTTTATAAAACGACCGATTTCGTTGTATGCGCCTACGAATGAAGTTCCGTTGTCGTAGTATATGTGTTTAGGTTTTCCGCGACGTGAAATGAATCGGCGAAGTGCTGTTAAGTAATTATTACTTGTTAGATCGCCTGTTAACTCCACGTGTACAGCCTTTGTCGCAAAACAAACGAAGATGAGAATATACACTTTCGTAAGCTTGCAACCACGGCCTTGATGACTGGCGGACATAATAGGTCCAGCATAATCGACGCCAACGCTCTCGAAGGGAAAACCGCCGGGAGTCACTCGACCCTGAGGCAGATTGCCCATAAGTGGATTTATAACCCTTCCCTTATAACGACAACATAAGTAACATTGTCGATAACAATATTTAGCTAAGTTGAGGCCTCCGATGGGCCAATACATTTCTCTAATTGAAGCTAATAGTAAACGAGGACCGGCGTGTAAAAGCTTGACATGCATATACTTAAACAATAATTTGGTAAAACGATTAGTGGACTGTAACATAATCGGATGTTTCTTTTCATAAGTAAATAATGCATTTCCTAAACGACCACCGACACGCATTATTTTATTTTCGTCTAGGAAAGTATTAAATTTCAAAATAGTACATTTTGAAGGCAATTTTTTGTTATTATATAAGGTCACATATTCCTCGAATGACTCAATTTGTGACAATCTAATTAAAGTATTTAAAGAATTATGTAGTTCGTCGTTACTTAAAAATTTACTTTTTACCGGTTTCTTTTTACAAATATTAATAAATCTTAACACGTAGGCCATAGAACGTTGTAATCTTATAAAATTAGAGAATCTCTCAAAGTCAATTAAAGGTTTTTTTCTGATCGGTAACAACTAAAGAAATCTCTGAGCGAGTTTCTGGTAGCTTATCACTTACAATAGGGTTAGCAGGCCAACTAGACATGTCACCCTTTAAAAACTGTGGACCAGACCACCATAAGTCAAGATTATGAATTTGATTTATGTTCGTACCGCGGGAAACATAGTCTGCCGGATTGAGATCAGTGGAAACATGTCGCCAAGTAAATGAACCTGTTTTTTCCAAAATTTCGGCAACTCGATTACGAACAAAAGGTTGTAATTTGTTAGGTAGCATTTTTAACCAACCTAAAACGATTGTCGAATCTGACCAAAAAATTACTGATCTTACTTGGATTCGAAGCGAACTTATCACCTTCTCATAGAGACGGACACCGACAAGTGCAGCGCAGAGCTCAAGCCGTGGTATTGTAGTCGGCCTTATGGGAGCTACGCGACTTTTGGCTGAAAGTAAACGCACCATCACATTATTTTTATTATTAGAACTACGGACATACAGACATGCTCCGTAAGCCACTTGAGATGCGTCACTAAAAATATGTAAGTCTACATTAATATATTGATTGCAGATAACACTGCGTGGAATTCTTAAATTGTTTAAAAATGATAAGTTTTCTACAATTGAAAGCCATAATTTAATTATTTGCGAAGGCAACTGTTCGTCCCATGTAAGTTTAAGTAACCATAATTTTTGCATTAAAATTTTCATAGAAATTATGCATGGGGTCAGAAGACCCAGTGGATCAAAGATTTGTGAAATAACCGAGAGTAATCCACGTTTTGTAAAATTATTTAAAACGATTTCACTCGTCGAAAAATACAGTTCATCAGACTCGATTTGCCAGCTGAGACCTAATGTTTTACAGGGTTCAGTAGAACCAATATTTAAGTCGAGAGATGAATTGTTATTATTTAGTATTACTCGAGGTTCATTTGATTTCCACTTACGGAGGTTCATACCAGCTGTGGCCAGTTCAGAAGACACCTTGTTATGTATGTCCAGCGCATCTTGAATGCTGTCCCTTCCAGTTAATAGGTCATCGACGTAGAAGTCATGGATTATTATTTCGGAGATTTTATCGTCCTTGCAATCCATACCAATCTGCTTAAGACATCTGGTGGCGAGATAGGGTGCGCTGGCTGTGCCATACGTTACGGTGTTTAACTGGTACGCTTTCATGAGCTCTGATGGATCATTTCTCCAAACTATTTGTTGGAGAGGTCTGTCATCAGGATGTACGACGATCTGTCTATACATCTTTTCTACGTCTGCTGATAGCACGTACTTATGTTGTCGGAATCTAAGTAGTATAGATAGCAGATCATCCTGTACAGTGGGCCCCACTAATTGCAAATTATTATATGAAATACCGGAAGTAGTCGGACTGCTCGCATTGAAAACAACTCTGAGCTTAGTCGTTAAGCTGCTTTCGCGAATCACTCCATGGTGTGGTATAAAATATGCTAACCTCCGTGGATCAAATGAACATTCAGACATGTGTCCTAGTGTTAGATACTCTGACATGAATTGAGTATAATTATTTTTAAATTTGGGTTGACCCTTAAACCTACGCTCAAGAGAAAGGAGGCAAAGCTTGGCGCGTTGTAGGGAACCGCCTAAATTATCACGTGATTGTTTCAGTGGTATTCTCACACAGAAACGACCGTCTTGTAGACGAGTTGTATTTTTAATAAAATGTTCTTTGCACATTTTCTCCTCCGCGGAGAGAACTGATGTATCATGGCAAACCTCCTCTAGGTGCCAAAAACGCGTCAATAGGTTTTGAATATCATCGTTATTATCATTGTGCGAAGAGACGTTTTCCCTCAAATTTAGTTTTACTAAAAACGACTTAGTGTTAGAAATCGAATACGGTACTTGGCCATTATTAATAAGGGGCCTGAGACTAGCCATCCTAACCTAGATTCAATGAGTACCGGCTTTCCGTTTCCTAAACTAATTTTACGTACCCCTAATAGGTCCCAAAAAACATCCGCACCAATAATTAAATCCACCGACGATGGCGTGTGGAAGCGGGGATCTGCTAAACAGAGGTTACTAGGTATTTTAATGTCGTTTAAAGGTATTTCCTGACTCGGTACTTCGTCCGTTATATGAGGCAAAACGAAACAGAAAAGATTAGTATTAAAGGTTTCGTTCAAAGACTTTATAGGCACGCAACACATTTTGCCTATGTGAGACTTAGAGTTATTAATTCCTAATAAAGATTCGTTAACATTAACTATCGGTAACTCTAATAATTTACGCAATCTTTCCGTAATTAGGCAAGAAGTGCTACCGCTGTCTAGAATAGCGCGAGCTAAGTATTCCTTATTATTGTGACCGTATATTTTTATAAGGGAAGTGGCTAAAAGTACCTGATTTTTATTTCGTAGGTAGGTCGATACTTGCGCAGACAAAGTGATATTATTATTACCGATATGCTCATCTTCGCACGATGTACCAGGGAGAGATAGTGGACCGTCCTCAGGGCGAGAAGATAAATTGGGAGTTGTCTTGAGCTTCATATCTGAAACGTGAATCAAAGTATTGTGCTTTCTTTTACACACTTTACAGCCATTCGACTTACAACGGTTTGCAAAATGACCAAAACGTAAACAATTATAACAAACCTTAAACTGCGGTAATAATTCTAAACGTTGTTCAGAAGAAAGCCCTAGAAATTTTGAACAATTATTTAGACTGTGCTCAGCCTTACAGTTAGGGCAAAGTTTGAACTGAGACATTTCGCTTTTCTCATTTAACCGATTTTGGGTCTTAGTGACTGACACCATGCTTTTAATTTTATTTTTATTTTGGTTAATTTGAGGATTGCGAGACAGTTCCAAAGTTTCTAATAGATCTGCACGATTTTGTATAAATGATAAAAATGACGCAAATGAAATAATTTTGTTATTATCCAAGTGACCTTTGTACTCTTCCCATTCCCGTTATGTCTTACTATCTAATTTGTGAGTAATAATGTGGATGAGTAAGGTGTTCCAGTGATTTATGGTCTCACCTAATGACTCAAGTGCACGTAGATTTTTACTCACGGAGTCTATCATGCGGTTTAAAATGAATGACGATTCCTTAGTAATTATCTCAATGTTAAATAATGCCGTTACATGGTTTTGAATTAAAATAAGTTTATTATTAAAACGTCCGCATAATAAATTCCAAGCCACCGAATAATTACTCGCCGAAAATTCAATAGATTGTATTACGACGGCGGCTGTCCCTTCGAGCGACGCGCGAAGATAATAAAACTTGTTGATATCATCGATATCATCATTTGAGTGTATTAAGCTAGAAAAAGTATCGTGACACTCAAGCCAGTTGTCATACGACCCGCTAAATTTCGGAAGCTGAATAGTAGGCAATTTAACAAGCTTATTATTGTTAATACGTGAAAAATCTTTTTCACTGCCTAAACATTCAAGATTATTTTTATTTTGTCGAATAAGTTCGTGAGCTTTCGAAAGAATTTTATAATACGTCGATTCGAAATCATTCCGCTCGTTTATTTGACTATTGATATCGTCCACTATACACTCCAATTTCAATTGAACCTCATCGTACTGTTCGTATAATAATTCAATTTTACTTACGCGCAATTGCAGTTCGCTAATCTGAGACGAGCTCAATGTATTCTTTAATTCACTGAGATAATTATTGAATGCCGTTAATTGACCTTTGTAACTTGCCCTTTTTTTTAATTAATTCCCTTTCATCGGTCATTTTGAGATACAGGCGAAAATTATAATAATATCTGAAAATTGAACAATTATTGAGAAATTATCACTAAATATAACGAAAATAAAAAATAAAAACACTGCACTGGTTATTTCCTTTTGTTTTCTTCAAAATTTCTTTGTCTCCGTCTTCAAGGTGACCCCGGACGTTCCAAGTTGTATATACTTGTTGTAAATCTCTAATTACGTAGATATTCAGTAGATTATAATTTCTCGATGAAAATCCTCAATAGCCGCTAGAATCCGGCTCGAAGCTGACCATGAATACTTTTTAATTCGGGGAGAAAAATAAAACTTCTTGATGCAGATATTATCGCCGTGTACTTTCAATTGACAAAAAAAAATTGGCGGTGGTTACAACTTAAAAACAACAAAGAAAAAAGAAATAAGTAAAACGTATGTAACGCAACTTCGTGCGTAACAAAAAACCACAGGCGTTTTCGTAGACACTACTGGTAAAAAAAAAAACAAATATATATATTATAGTTCTTGATGAAAATAATGTATGCGCGTTACTTCGCATCCCATCAAAAATTTCTAATGTAAGTCTTGGTGTAAAGCTAAGACGTGATAATAACTGTAAACAATAGAATAACAAAATAATGAAAACATTTACATTTACATACAAAACATTTACAAAAATACTTGCTTTATAACCTACTAAATATTATTTGACCGTAATAAAATAAAACAAGGTAGTCTTGGGCATGAAAGTAAAAATAAATATTTTCGATTATTTTTGCAATATCTAACAGCCGGATCAGCGGCCGATTCTGATCCATCTAAAGATGCTAAATTTCAGCGAGCACTGTCAAATTCAATAGAAGTGACAGAAAAACGGTTCTTGATATAGAAAGGTAAATAAATTATTTAACCTATAAAGTAAAATCACTTTATTACAAATCAAAATAGCCCAATAGCTTTATTAACATGAGACATAATTGTGCGTGTGCTTACAATACTTAAAATTATTTTACTGAAATCTTAGAACGTTTTTTTTTTTAATAGAATAAGGGTGACAAACTAGCACACAGTCCACCTGATGGTAAGTGGTTGCTACGGCCCATACACATCTACATCTATTCTCGATTACGTATCAAAATGTAGATGCGTTGTCACCCGTGAGGACTAAGATGTAATGCCTCGTTTCCAGTAAAAAGGTTCTCCGGTTCTCTACACTCACCATACGAAACACAGCAGGGTTAAACTGCTATTTTACATGTTATTCCGTGAGAGCGTGGCCCTTCCTTTTTTTTTCCTTCCCCAGTCGAGCCGACCCATTCGTGCTACAACTATACCTACTACTAATATAGCTGCAGCATGGCTCTACCACGTAAGAAAAAATTGACGTTGAAAATTTAAGTACTTTTAGAAGCAACTTAGCAATTATTTTCTATTGAGTTAATTTTTGTGGAATCGTGTTTTGCAAACCGCCACCTGAAATACGTACAATTTTTTTTCGATAATGACGTGAAATTACAAAACGATCCCCATGCATTGCAATGTGGCTCTATTAATATGAACATACCTCGGGATTCAGAGATTTTAAGTTTTCATGCGTAGATAATGGAAGATATAATATTATATTATCACTGTCCCGTGTGAGGCAACCTTTATACTTATATACATATTCTCCTCATATTTTTATGGTTGGTTAGAGAAATTATATCTAAATGCAAACTTTCACAGGGTAAATTTTTTTTTTACTATTTATACCCAGCAAGTAGTAAAGCAACTACAATCCCATCGGTAAGTGGTTATGTAGTCTAAGCTGGTGAATTGCACTGACTTAACAAAAACCTATTCACTCTTGCCTAATAGTAATAGGTAAGTATTATTTGCGACCAATTTGTGTGTGTGTGTGTGTGTGTGTGTGTGTGCGTGCGTGCGTGCGTGCGTGCGTGCGTGCGTGCGTGCGTGCGTGCGTGCGTGCGTGCGTGCGTGCGTGCGTGCGTGCGTGCGTGCGTGCGTGCGTCAGTGCGTGCGTGCGTGCGTGCGTGCGTGCGTGCGTGCGTGCGTGCGTGCGTGCGTGCGTGCGTACGTGAGTGCGTGCGTGCGTGCGTGCGTGCGTGCGTGCGTACGTGAGTGCGTGCGTGCGTGCGTGCGTGCGTGCGTGCGTGCGTGCGTGCGTGCGTGCGTGCGTGCGTGCGAGCGTGCAGGCGTGCGTGCGTGCGTGCGTGCGTGCGTACGTGCGTGCGTGCGTGCGTGCGTGCGTGCGTGCGTGCGTGCGTGTGCGTGCGTGTGCGTGTGCGCGTGCACGTGCGCGTGCGCGTGCGCGTGTGCGTGTGCGTGTGCGTGTGCGTGTGCGTGTGCGTGTGTGAGTGTGAGTGTCTGTGTGAGTGTGAGTGTGAGTGTGAGTGTGTGTGTGTGTGTGTGTGTGTGTGTGTGTGTGTGTGTGTGTGTGTGTGTGTGTGTGTGTACGTAAGAAAAGCGTATGAGAATACGTGAAGAGGAATAAAAGTTGAGTACTAATTCGCTTACCTGTACGAGGTTGCCACTTGAGGACCTTTCTTCCTATTTTTTATCTGTTTTCCAACTTATATAGCTAGCCCATTGCCATTTCATTGTAATATTCCGTTGGGGTATGTCAGTTACTCTGGTTCTAATGCAAATATGTTCATTTCTAACTTTATCACGTAGAGAAACCCCTCTCCAATTTAAAATTTTTACTTTTTTTAGATGATAGTTTATCTAACAAAAAAAAACCATAAACCCAAGAATGTCTTTATATAGTCATTTATACTTAGGTAAGCACCATTCTTTTATTTATTTAAATTGTTTGATTTAATTTGATAAACAGTGTACTTAATGTTAGTATCTGTATCTTTATTTCCCTCCCTAATAATATTTTATAAAGTCATACTCATAAAAACAGCATTTTATTGTAATACATAATTATAAAATTCAGTATCAACTAATTATTAAAAATATGCAACAATAAAATTACATAGGTATTAAAAACTATCGAAATCTAAGTAACGAGAGCATGTTCGTCGTTCCACATCTAAATTATATAAAAATGCATTTTTCAATTTCACTAACCAAAGTCGCCGCGAAAATTTCTTCTTCTTTGGGCACTTTAAAAATTCATTTATTTAAAAAATAATATTTACAGTTACCAGTGTACAGATATTAACTAAATTAGTATTTCTAGTCATAAAAATATTTATAATTGAGTATAAACTTTTAAAAAACTAATATATATTTGAACGAAGTCGCTCCAACACCGACGTGCAGTCCACCCTCGACGATGTCCGAAAACGGACTGTGACCAGGCGTAGGACAGTTGCCTTGAACCACAAAACTTTAATGGATGGTGGCGCCATCCATAATTTGTTTCCAAAAATAATTTGTTTATAGTTGGTCTTATGGCTTCACAGATGTCGCTACTTTGGAAAAATAAAATGAAATTTACTTACAAAATAAAAATA